CATTATCACATTTTTTTTCACTGGAGCCACCATAAGGTCTTATATATATTTCCCTATACAGTATAATCTTTTATCTATTCTGCATATGCCTGTCAGTATCTACAAATTTTGAAATCCCAGCCGTCATTTCTTCTTGAAGGTTTCCATTCCTTTGGTGACACTACACTCTGCCAGCTCTCCATGCATCCCTGGCTACTTCTGCTCTATCTTCTTTGAGAGCTCATCTTCTTTGCCTGCCCCTTTAACTGTGGGAGTTCTCCAGAGATACAAACTAGACCCTTTGCTATCATTGCTGTATCTTCTCTCTGACCCCTTTTACTATTTGTGTCCCAATAGGCTGAGGTCACCTAATTTTATATCTCTTAACTATTCTCCTCTCCTGGCCTCTAGACCAACTTGTCAACTAGCTTCTTCAAATAGATAATCCATGAGCATTCAGATTTCCCCTGGAATGAGCCCTTATCCTGATGTTCAATATTTCAGTGGATCCATTCACATAAACTTAAAACCTAGGAGCTTCCTATGATTACTCCTTCATTCTTACCTGCACATTCCACTAATCACAGAGTTCTACTCATTTTGTTTCCTAAATAGTTCTCAAATTGACCACATCTTCTTCATCCCTATTTACTGCCTTAACTTAAGCTTTCGTCATCTCTTGCTTGGACCTCTGACTTAGTCACTTTCTAACTGGATTGTCTCCTGGCTTGTCTCATAAAATCCAACCTCAACACCGAAGCACTTTCTCTAAAATGCAGATCTGACCAAATAACCAACATGCTTAAAATAATCTGTGGATTTTTCATTATACAGAGAGTGAAACTCCAGCTCCTTAGTGTGGTATCTGGGAGCTGCCTGGCTTCTTCTCGTGCCATTGAGCTCCAAATGCTTGGAGTCTCCCTAAGAACACAGCATGCTTTTTTCCCAGCACTATTCTCATGCTGGTCATGCCCATAAAATGCCCTTGTACACCATCTTTCTGCCTAGAAAACCCCTACTCATTCTTTATGACTTCAATCAAGATCTGTCCCCCTCCTTAGACTTATTTTATTGTCACTTTTAGCTTGTTTATTATCATTATCTCTTTATGTGTCCATCTCTCCCACTAGATTCTGAGTGGATTGAGACTAGAAATTATCATTGTATCTTGGATAGCTAATGTAGTCTCTGTTTTGTAGGTATGCAATTAATATTTATTGAATGAATTAGTTTACTAGTTAGCAAATAAATATAAGTGACTCATCCTTTTGTAAGACAGTATATAATTCAATACATTTTATGCATTTATAACTAGCTCAAATATTTTACATGAAATCAATAACCTAAACATTCTATAAATATATTATTCAGGGAAAATTTAATTTTATCAGTGAAAAATGATGAATGTTCATTATGACTAAGGAATCTGCTTTAAATGCACTATCAATATTTTTTTAATTTCATCATATTCACTTATTCTTTCAATAAATATTTATTGAGTACCTCCTATATGCTAGGCACTGTTCAGAGCGCTGGAGAAACAGCAGGGAATTAAACAAAATCCAAGCCCTAAAGGAAATTTTTGTAAAATCCGTATGTGTGAAGTAAACAACTTTAAAATGGAATTTAAAATAATAGTTGTTTAAGTAGATCTCTCTAAGCTACTAGTAAGTATATTTAGAATGGCTTCACATCATCGTGAAAACAGGCTTTCAGTGCAGGCAAGAAAGAACGTGTAATATGGAAATGTTGATTCTATGAATGTTTATACCTTCTGGTTTTTCTCAGGACCTTTCTAGACCACCCACTGCGCAGCTGTTTGAATGATAAAGAGCATTTTCTCCAGCTGCAGAGTTTCTGCTCGTGTGCAGAGATAGCATTGGGTGACCCATTAAAGGGGGCTCTAGAAGAGGAATTAGCATCCCAGAGTTTATACATTCAGCCAACTCAAGAGGACATACCGACATAAGAGTTGGCCATAGGGACTGCCGGTATTCAGTTCTAAAGGATAATTAGATTTAGTTGGTGTTATTTGGGAAATGTAAAATATGCTCAATTAATCAACAATTACGTGTTGATGTTCGAGGAAAAATGCATAGGAGATCCTGTCTTTAAGAAAGATGCAATCTAGTTGGGGGATATCAAATACAATAAAATGATGGCAGTAACTGTCAGTGAGTGCTAAGTGTCGCATTGACAAAGCAGATGTCAGAGGCCAGGATGTCAATATAAGAGAGCTCACTTCCTGCTGCAGTGTTCACTGGAGCTTTATCGGTGTCAAGATTACTTAGAAGAAATATGGAAAAGGACAATCTCAGAAACTAATAAGATATGATCAAATTGAGGTCAATTGAGATTTAGCACCCTGCAATTCTGGGGACAAATCTGATATATTTTGCACACTGTTAATTCCCTGCTTTTTGGATCTAATGCCACATGTAATACCATGCAAACTTCCCCACATCCACTTCAAGGGAAGAGGGAGGTTACTTTCCCCTTAACTTCAGACCTGTCCATCTAGCTGTTTACTCAGTATGTCTAGTTGAATGTCTAACAGGCATCTCAAACTTAACATGTCTAAACCAGGCTCCTGATACCCCCAAAACTTTCCTCCTTCATCCTGCCCATCTTTATCTATGGAAAAGCCTAAAGTCTTCGATATCTCTTTCTCCTACACTCCACCTCTACTCAATTAGCAAATTCTGTAAACTGTATCTTCAAAATGTAGGCAGAAGCTACCGCTTCTCATTTTGCCCTCTGCTAATATGTAATCATCTTTCACCTACATGATATAATAGCTTCCTAAATAGTCTCTCTTTCCACGCTTACTCTTTCTCAAACTATTCTCAATAATCTGAGTGATCCTATCCAAACATACATCCAGTCATGTCATTCGACTTCTCAAAACCCTCTGCTGGCTTCCCATGTTATTCGGTAATTACTGAAGTTCTTACTATGGCCTGTAATATTTGGAATTTGATAACTTCTCAGATCTTTTTTTTTTTTTCTTCCTACTCTTCTGTCATTCACTTGACTCCAGGTTCACAGTCTCTTGGCTATTTCTTGACACACAAGATATACTTAGGACCTTTGCACTTGCTGATCCCTTTGCACAAAATGCTTTTTCTGGAAATATCTACCTGGCAGCTCCTTCATTTCATTCAGATACTTGCTCAAAAGTCACCGCACAAGAAGGCCTTCCCTGGCCATCCTGTCTAAAACATCAGCACCCTGCCTGACCCTTCCCTGTACCTGCTCTGCTTCTCCCCTCACACTGTGGGGCAGGGATTTTTGTACGTTTTGTTCATTGTTGTATCCCAGAACCTAGAACAGGACCAGGTACACAGTTGGTGGCCTATAAATATTTGTGGAATGAATGTTGAACGAATTTGATCAAATGCTTTATGGGCTTTTCTAATACTTCCAGTAGGAGTCTTGGGTGCTTTTCCATCATAGGTACTGCTATGGTGCCAGGATCTCAGTCTATAGTGTACAGAAGGATCCCCTCTGTCTCAATGTGGAGATTTCTTTGGGGGTTTCATCCAGTCTTTCCATTAAAGCTTCCTTTGATACTGAGCTCCATTGATTCACCATTTGAGGAATCAATTTCTTTCTAGCTCTTATCCTTCTAGATCAGTGGTTTTCAATCATGGCTACGCATGAGAGTCACCAGGGGGAACTTAGGAAAACCTCACAGTGATTCTAATTTAATCAATCTGGGTAGGGGAGAAAGCGAGACCTGGGCCTCCTAGGTTTTAAAAGCTCCCCAGGTGATTATAATATACAACCCAGGGTTGCAAATCACCACCCTAAGTGAATTCCTGGATCTCAGTTGTGTTCATTAATCTGCAATCATATTCTAAGCTTCCATCTCTACGTTGTTTTGAGAGGCTGCGTTGTTTAAAATGTAACCTCAGACGGTCATGTATTTGTACTTATACAATAAATATAAGTTGCATTTTAGACATCTCAGCCACTCAAGATGAGGTAATGATGAAGCAGAGAATGTACTCCCTGGGAGAGACCTTCAACTGTAGATAAATTGAAGGAGTATGGGTTGTAAAGTCAGTGCAATTCAGCAAGTAATTATCGAGCACCTATTGTGCACCCAGCTTCTAATGCTGTATTTAGCATTGTGATGGTGACAGGGGCTGTGGAGGAGGGAGGATGCTGGATACCTCTCTGCCCTCAGAGAATTAGCGATTGTTGAGAAGGCAGCATTACAAAAGGATACACTAAGAAGAGTCTAAATAATGTTTCCAATTCCATGAAATGCAAGAACAAGAGATGGACTGCATAATAGAAAGTCAAAATAGCCAGCCTCCAAGGATACTGCCTTATGAGGGGAAAAGGGGACAATTAAATCATTAAGAGGAATAATAATAATAACCATGGGTAAAAAGATCTGCCAAGACCCTTGAAACAGAAAGTACTCAATCACTGCTAACACACAACAATGATTAGTGTGTTTCATGCTCTGCTCAAAGCTGCATTCTTATTATTAATTTTGCCTAAAGCAGACCACTGTGATTTCCATAGTAATTATGAAGATGACTTAGGGCCATTGGTTTACCCTAGAAACACTCATCTGAGTGAGGAAAGGTCTTGAAGATCAGACTTCTTTAAAAATAATCTGGTGAATGATGTTAATTGTTGCATTGCCTGGTCCCTTCAGCCAGTTCTTGGACATAGATCTTCTCTTCTCCCAGGAATCTGACCTCACGTTCCGACTGGCCAGTGGGCTCGTTATATGGCAGCCCATGTGGGAGCACAGACAGCCCGAAGTCTCTGGCTTCACAGCCCTGGTGAAGCCCATCAGGAACATCATTACAGGTGTGTGACTCAGACACCCAGTGGGTCGGTCTCAACAGACTCCCTCATATTCAGGAGTGAGGGTGATGGGTGATTTGCTCTTCAGAAACCAAGAGGAAGAAAATTTCTCCAGGGAGTTATCTAGGTGCCCAAGGTACAGGGCTCATTTACATGATGAGAAACTCCAAACCAGGAGCACATGCTGTTGAGTTGTGTGACATTGGGTAAAACATTTAAACTTCCTGAGCCTCTGTTTCCTCATCTGTGAAATGGGAATTATAGTATTACAAGTATATCAAGGTTGTTATGAGGAATAAATGAGTTAATATACGTAAAACTGCTTAGAAAGATGCTAGGTGCATAGTAAGTGAATAAGTGGTAGCTATAATTATCATTATGTCATCATTATGGTAAATGGAATAGCAACTCTTTAACAATCTTGCCATAGTGTGTTTTGGCTGTCAAAGCATTTCACTGCAGGAATTGCCTATGAAATAACCCTACTGTTGAACTGTAGAAAGAGTACAACATTATAGCCTGAAAAGTCAGAAAAGCCTGGAAGTTTCCTGCTTCACTCCAGCTCTATCTCTTACTATGTATGTAACCTAACCTCTCTGTTTCTATTTATTTAAAATGTAGTTGATACCACCTTGAAGTGATCCCCCCTTCATAGTGAGGGATAAATAAGAAAATGAATAAGGTGCCCACTTTATAGTGAGTGCTTAATTCCATCTTTATTCCCAGCCCAACTTTAGCATCGAAAACAAAATCTATAAAGAGAGAAATCATGTGAGAAGTCTACAGAAACATATATGTAGTTTGTTTACTTTGTAAGTTTTCTCTGCAGACAGTGGAGGATTATGCATGTAAAAGAGCTTTCTTTGTAAGGGGAACGAAACCATAAACAGGTTCTTGCATACTCTTATTTCCCCCTATAACTTAATACAAACTTGCAAGGTACATAGTATGTTAAGGAATTTTGTAAAGTGAAGAGTGATAATATGCTTATAGTGACAAATCATTCTTATGATAGCAATTTAAAAGGAAGATGAAATTTTTCACATGGTAAAACTAGATAATCTCACAATTTACCCATATATAATCCATTAACTATTGAAGTAAATTATAAATTCAAGAGCAACAGTCTGTCATAGGTTGAAATATCAAGGAACTAAATAAGTAAAGATGTCATAGCCACAAACGGTCTGCTTCAGAATCTGTGGCTGGAATAAGGTTAATTTCACTGGATTAAAACAATCTGAAAGTGAAGACAGATGTACCAGGTTAAAAAACTGAAAACAATATAAATAAGACAGAAGAAAATAAAATCTGCTACAGTAAAACAAAACTATTACAGAAAAAGCCGTATCTTGATGTTAATTAAAGAAATTTAATTTAAAAAATTTTTTAAAGTCCTATCACTTTCTATAAATGGAGAGGTGAGCTTAAAGTTAGATCTCTCTCTCTGATTAAGACGTAAATAATCATTTAACACATGAATAAAAATTAAGGAATCATGTCCATCCAGGGAAGCACTCAGGCTATTCACTTCACCCTCCCTCTGCTTCTCAGTAATATTCACAGTGGGTTCCTTTTCCTCTGCCCAATGCCTGTGGACTTGAAATGGTGCCCAAAATCTGAGGGGGAGTTAAACTCAGTTTAGTATGGTCAGAAGGAAAACAGTGAACATAGGTGACGTGCACTTGGTCTCTCATTTTGTGACTCGGTAAATCACTTTCCCTCTCAGCACCAGTTTACTCCAGTTCAAATGGGACATTGTCATTTTTGCTTCCCATTGTCCCTGACCAGATGTGATTAATTTGAATCTTACTCCAGGGGCAGCTTTATGCGGTCAATAAAGCACAGAGCCTGGAGCCTGGTATCCTGGGCTGGAAACTTCATGAAAGGGGCAGTGACCTTGGGCAAGTTAAATTCCCTGTGCTTTAGTGTCTTTATCTGTAATATGGGTGTAATAGTATACCATAAGTTATTATAGGGTTATTATAAGTATTAAATGAGTTGACATTTTAAAAACAGAACAGGACTTGACAGATATTAGGGACTATGTAGATGTTAACTTTTATAATCTTTAGTACTGCCAATTTTTTAGCAACCTATTGAGTTGGACTGAATAGGTAAAGAAATCTATATTGATAACCTAGAAATGCTAAGATTTCTGAATTGGTTATTTGATTTCTCTTACAACATACACTATTAAATGTCTTCCTTCAAGGTTTTAGCGCTCTATTGAGATGGGTTTTTTATTTGAAAATAAAATGAACTTATAAAATAAATTTATATATAACATATCATCTTATAAAATCTTTGCAGCTAAGAGAAGCTCGCCTATCAACAGCCAGAACCAGACCTGTGAATCACCAAATCAAGACCCAAGACACCGAGAGGTGAGTTTAATGTAGTTGAGAGAAGAAAGGAGATGGTCATTCCTTGGACATAGTATAATGTCATGGGTAAGACATGACTAGTGCTTTATCTCAATGGCTAGCATGTAACACTCAATAAATGATAGCTATCATTATTTGATAGCTATTCCACATTAAATTATCATCTTGTTTCAATTATTGACTCTCCTAATATTTTCTAGGCAACCCTAATATAGGTACAATAGTGCTATTGCAAGTGGGGAGGAGGGAGTAGAAAGGAGGCTTAAGATGCAGTCCTACCCCTTAAGGAATCTAAAGTTTAATGAGGAATCAAGACTAATCCACATAAAGCCAAGGATGCATAATAAAACAGAACATAATTTACTGTAAATTCATCATGCACTCTTTGATTCAGAAAAGAAAGAAATGAAGGCCAGGGTAGTTCAAAGCCACACAGAAATGTATACTGTCATTAACTTAACACATCGCTAGATGACCTGCTTTCACTTCCAGTTCAAAACGTGCAAAATACAATTTGCTGCTTTCCATCAAAATTGTATCCTCTTTCTAACTCATGCATTACTGCCAGGAGTATCATCATCCTTTTTACCCTCAAAACTAGAAATTTTGGAATCCTAATATATTTCTCTTATTTATGGAGCAATCGCTAAGTACAGACACTGTGATTTATATGCTGTATTTCATCTATTCTAAGATGAATATTTTTTTTTCACTTTTAACGTTTGAAGTCTAGTGTATTTCATGACCTTCGGCCTCTTTCAATCTCTCTACTTTTCATATGATTGTCATTCTTGTGCAGCATAAATTCGATCATTTTCGGCATCTAAGGTTGCATAATCAGGGTCAGTGGCTTAGAAGAATATGTCAAAGGGAACAGTGAAAGACTCTTTAAAGAAATAACACTATTTGATTAGATTTACTCCTAGGTATTTTATTACTTTGGGTGTTATTTTAAAGGGGATTGTTTCTTTACTTTCTTTTTCTGTTGATTCATCATTAGTGTAAAGAAATGCCAGTGATTTTTGAACGTTAATCTTGCAACCTGCTATCTTGCTGAATTCTTTGATCAGCTCTAGTAGTTTTTGTGCGGAACTTTAAGGGTTTTCTATATACAGTAACATGTCATCAGCATATAGTGACACTTTTACCTCTTCTTTTCCAATTTGGATCCCTTTGATTTCTCTCTCTTGTCTGATTGCTGTGGCTAAACCTTCCAAGACTATGTTGAATAGGAGTGGTGATAGTGGGCAGCCTTACCTTGTGGGACCCCTATTATGTGTAGGTTGGCATGTTTTATATTATCCCACAGGTCCCTGATATTGTTTTCATTGGCTTTTATTTGTTTTCCTGTCAGCTATTCTGATTGGGTGACTTCTGTTGTCCTGTCTTCTAAGTCACTATTCATTCCTCTGCATTATCTAGCCTACTTTTTACAGCCTTTTGCTCAGCTCTTATTTCAGAAAATGAGTTTTCCAATTTCAACTGGCTCCTCTTTATAGTTTCAGTTTCCTTTTTGACATACTTTCTGTCTCTATTCACAATCTCTTTTAGTTCCTTCAGTACTTTGATCACTCCTTTTTTGAAATCATGATCTAGTAGACTATCATGGTCTCTTTCATGATGGTTCTTTAAGGGGATTTCTCTTGTTCTTTAATTGGCAGTGGTTCCTCTGCTTCTTCATTTCAGTTACATCTCTCTGGCACTATGGATTATGGAGTATCAGTTATCTACTGTGGTCCTGAAGGGGTTTGTTTATTTACTTATCTAAAGAGGATGCAAAAATAAAACTAAAAAAAAAGAAATTTAAAAGAAGAAAAAAAATTTGAAAACAGAGTATAAACAATAACAGAAGAACAAAATGAAGAGAAATTAAAACCAAATTGAGACAAATTTTTTCAATTAATAAAATGTTTTAAAAGAAAAATTTTAAAGGGATTAAAAAATAAAAAATAAAAATTAAGAGAAAATTAAAAACTAAAAAAGAAAAAAATTAAAGAAAAAAGTGAATGTGTTCCCATGGAGACTGTGCACTCAATAATTTTGTCAAGAGGTCCTTCTGAAGTGTGGGTGGTTGCCAACTCTTCCTTCCATGCCTTTGTTGTCCCTTTGGTTGGGGGTGTGGCTGGTGGTGTGGTGGCCAGAGCCTGCCCTGGCTATTGAGCAGAGACTCTTTCTCGTCCTGTGGTTGTCGCCGCTCCTGCCCTTGCCCTGCTTCGCAAACCCCGCTCGCTGGTTCCAGAGGCCCTTGGGCCGCACCCGCGGTCTGTGCCAGTAGGCCAGCGGGTCGCGCCTCCTCCCAAAGCTGCATCTCAGCGCCGGGCGCGGTAGGTGGGGGGGCCGCTCCCCGGTCAGCGCCGCTCCCTGCGCCTGCGTAGGGCCCCTGCGCAGTAGGCAGCCTCCGAGAAAATGGCTGCACCAACCTTTGCCCCCGCTGTGTGCCAGAACTCCGCTCCTTGTTCTTTTGTCTTAGAGGCGCGAGTTCAGAGGCACAGGGCAGAACGGTCCTCTCTGCCTGGGGCTGTCAACAAGCCTCAGTCCCGTCTGTGAGGTTGCGGAGCCCCCAGGTAAGGATTCAGGCTTTGACCCCCCTCTGCCTGGGAACCGCGCACAGGCGAGTATGGCGGCCGTGGCTGCGCCCCGCCCCTCTCCCCTGAGAACGCGCCCGTAATGGCGCAGCGGGTCTGTGGAGACAAAGGCCATGGCGCCCCTCCCCCCTGCGCCCCTCAGCATTGTAGCTTTGCTTTTTGTGTGTGTGTCTTATGGGGGACCCGGACTGTTCTGCTCCGTGTCCCCTCCCAGTCACGGCGCACAGCACCCTGCAGTCCCCCGGGGTTGCCTCTGTACAGCCGGCCTGAGTCCTCCGCCTGGCTCAGGCAGCCTGTCCCTCCGCCTGGCTCAGGCAGCCTGTCCCGTCCCCCACCTGCCGGCTCGCGTCTAGGGCTGGGGGTCGTGGGGACCCTTTGAGCCCATTTATCTTAGTTCTGATGGTCAAGGGCTATTCCATACAGAACCGAGCCTCGGAGGTTCCCCTCCATCCCACTGAGCTCTCCATTGGAGAGGGGGAGACCCAGAGATCGAGCGCTGTTCCTCTTTGCCTCTCTGTCCCTTTGGGACCGGTCCTGCACTATTTTCCTTTTTCTTCCTTTTTTCCTTGTCTTCTACCAGATTTGTGGCTTATATTGTCTTTTGAAGTAGGTGATATTCTGTCAAAGTTCAGCAGGTGTTCTGATTGGCTAGGTGGGTCTGTGGATGTCCCTCTTGATGTATTTGTGGGAGAGGGTGGGCTATGAGCGTCCTTCTACTCTGCCATCTTGTGCCTTCTGTGAGCAATACTTTTATTTTACAGGAAATTGTAAGGGCTAAAATGCTATGATTGGTCTTTGAGGGTCTTTATCCTTTAGCAAAGAATTTTATCTGTAATACTAATGGAAAATATCTCACGTTACCTGGGCAGAATTACAGTTACCAGCTAAATGTAATTAAAATAAGCTACTCTAAGAAATAGGCTGAATTTGTGCTTCTAAATAAAGGTCATTGTACCCAATTGCAAAAAATGTTTTTCATCCCCTCTTCTGATGAGTGATGGAAAATCCTGCACCTTGCACTTTCATTCTGATGTTTTGGCTTTGATTTAATTAGCTCTGTCTAACTCGGCACTTGTCTTCTGCCTCATGTCTCTCTTCAGGTCGCCTCAGTACTGGCGTATCTTTGCTGAATTGCCTGTAACTCTTCTGTAGATACTCGAGATGCACATGAAAAAGAAAAGAATCAAGGACAAAATGAAATACAGTACATGAAAGAGCTTAGCCTAGTGCTTAGAATGACACAGGTTCTTTCTAGAAGCCTGTTTTCAATCCCTTTTCGATGAAGCCAGATCCCTTTGTCTATGACATATTTTACTATGCTGCAAAATTTTTTTAAATTTAGAAAACAATGTATGTAATATGATAGATAACTCTAGAGGATATGCCTGAAGGGAAAAAAAAAAAACTTAATCTGCTGTCTCCACCTCCAAAAGGGGCTTCAGGTGGTCTGTGAAACATTCCAGTCGGATTCCATCTCACCCAAGGCCACCATGTCAGGCTGCCACCGAGGAAACTCCTTTGATGGAAGTCTGTCCTCCCAAACTTCCCAGGAAAGAGGACCATCACATTCCAGGTGTGTGATTGCGATGTTAGGGACAGAAATGTATTCCCAGTTCCCAAAAGTTAAATATGCATTTCTAGCTACTTGTGTAGCCTCTCTTCCTTAAAATGTGAAAGTACACGGTGTATGTAGACATACTCTTGGTCAAAGTATCATTAGATTAATAATTCCAGAAATGAGCTATGAATAGCTCTCAGTTAAGCATACTTGGATGGAAGTGGGAAGACATGTCTGATTTAATGAGATGTCTGAATTAGATAATATTTTAAATATTTAAATGCAGAAACTCAAATGATGCTGCAGGGATGTGAAAGGATCTGCTTTGATATATAAAAATACGTTATACCAGCCAATCCTTGTATTAAAAAAATGGGTGCTTCTAAATTACTCATAGCGAATTCAGAAGCCTATTCTTTGTAAACGTTCCAAGGCTGCCTGACTTAGTTGGTACACAGTGAATTTGCTTACCAGTGCTTTCCCTAGGGGCAAACTCCACCTCAGAGGGGAGACACCCTGACACCATTTGTATAGCCCTGTTTTCAAGTGAAGTTTCTGTCTAGTGGGTAGTATTTTAAAAGCAGGTATTTTAAAAATGCTCTTTACATATCATAAAATTCACCCATATTAAGTGTACAATTTAGCAATTTTTAACAAATTTACAAAATTATGCAACTACCACCACAGTCCAATTTAGAACATTTCTATCACCCGAAAACATCCCTGTGCCCATTTCAGTCACTCCTGTTCCCACACCCTGATCCAGGTGATCACTTAATATGCTTTGTGTCTCTATAGTTGCATTTCTGGACAGTTCAAGTAAATGGAATCATGCCATATGTGGTCTTTGGCATCTGGCTTCTTTCCTTTAGCATAATGTTTTAGAGACTCATCTGTATCATAGCATGCACAAGTAGCTCATTCCTTTTTATTGCTGAACAGTGTTCTGTTGCATGGCTGTATCACATTTTGTTAATCCGTTCGTCAGTTGTTGGATGTTTGGGTTGTTTCTACTTTTTTGTTTATTATGAATAATGCTGTTATGGACATTCCCATACAAGTTTTTGGATGGATGGATGTTTTTAATTGCTGGATTGTATGGTACATTTATGTTTAATTTTTAAGAGCTGCCAAACTGTTTTCCATTATGGCTGCACCATTTTGCATTTCTACTGGAAATGTGTGAGAGTCCATTTTTCTCTGTATCCTTGGCAGAACTTGTTATTGTCTCTTTATTACAGCCACTATAGCGGGTATGATGTGGGATCTCATAGTGGTTTTAATTTGCATTTTCCTAATGACAAACGATGCTAAGTGTACTTTCATGTCCTTATTAGCTATTTAAATATCTTCTTGTGAAATATCTATTCAGATTTTTGCCCGAGGTTTAAATGGGTTGTTTGTCTTCTTATTACTGAATTGCAAGAGTTTTTAAATATATATTCTGGGTATGTCTTTATCTCTCCCTGCCCCCCAAGCCTAAAAAAGATTCACAGATATTCCCTCTTAGTATTAGCTTGCTTGCTTTTTCATTTGGTAGTTTTAAAATGATGTAACGCCTTCTGGCACCAGGACCACTACATGGCTACATGGGTGTAGTTTGTTTTTTTTTTAAGATTTCTTAGAATTATTGAAAGTTTAGAGCTAAATGAATATAATTGCTTTTTAACCAAAATACTACTCTGTTGTGCTTTAAAAAAATAACATGTAAAAAGTTTATTTTTGTATCTTTATTTTGGACTTTAAAACCAAGCAACCCAGTTGAATGATCTTTTGCTGTTTGGGAATATGAAATTTTGATGGCAACTTTACTTGTATAAGCAGGGATTGTTTGTATTTATCCACATGATTTACTGTGTTGGGTCAGTGATGATGCATGCTTAAAATTGTATCATTTTCTTTTTCTTTTCGAGGGGGAGGTAATGAGATTTATTTATCTGTTTGTTTACTTATTTATTTATTTTCATTGAGGTCCTGGAGATTGAACCCAGGACCTTGTGCATGCTAAGCAGGCACTCTACTACTGAGCTATACCCTCCCCACAAAATCATATCCTTTTTAATGTGAAAGGAAGTGTAACCAATCCAACTCCTGTCTCCTTGCTGACACACTAATCATTTTAACTATGTGAACACTTTCAGCAATGAAGAAATTAGTACTCTCAGATGAAACTCATTTCATTCTTAGATAGCTCTATTTAATGGCATATCCTTTTTATATTTGACCAAATTTTGCTTTTCTATAATTTCTGTCTATTGTTCTTGTGTTAGTTTTCTACTGCTATGTAACAAATTACAACAAACTTAGTGGCTGAAAGCAACACACATTTACTATTTCACAATTTCTGTATATCAGAAGTTCAGGCACAATTTAGCTGGACTGTGCCTCAGGGTCTTGCCAGACTGAATTTCAGATGTCAGGAAGGACTACAGTCTCATCACAGGCTGGACCAGGGAGAGATCCACTTACAAGCTTTTTCAGGCTGTTGGCACAATTTCTCCCTGTGGGTGTAGGACCGAGGCCTCTGTTTCCTTGCTAGCTGTTGTTTGGGGGCTGCTCTCAGTTCCTAGGGGCCACCCACAATTCATGGCTGTGTGGTCCTGACCACAGGCTGCCTCACGTGGCGGCTTCCTTCTTCAGAACCAGCAAGGGAGAGAACCCCTCTCTAATTCCAGTCCGCTGATACATTTATAATATAACATAATCACAGGAGTGACATCTCATCATCTTTGTCATGTAAAATAACCTAATCACAGGAATGGCATCCCACCACTTTTGTCCTAAACTGCAGGTTATAAGAAAGTCACAGGTCCAGAGGGGGAGGGTATATAGCTCAGTGGCAGAGTGCATGCTTAGCATGTCCGAGGTCCTGGGTTCAATCCCCAGTAAGTCCATTAAAAATAAATTAAATAATAAGTAAATAAACCTAATTGCCTAGCCTCTCCAACAAAAAAAGAAAGTCCCGGGTCCTGCCCACACTCAAAAGAAGATTATAAACGTTGCGACCGCCATCAGGTAGGAAGCAGGAATGGATCCCCTAAGTGCACTCACCACAATCCTTTGAGTACGTACAGAATCTTCTCATATTACTGTCCGCTTATTCAAAGGGAGCCACCATAATGACCCCTCCACACACTAAGGCTCCCATTTTATTTGGTGACAATCACTAACAGAGTTATCAAGGGTATAACTTAATCATATTTGAGGAAAAGATAGTTCCTTATGACACAGACACAGACTAATAAGGACTACCTTTTTGGAGACATCTTTACATTCATAGAATTTTCTAGAATCTTTACATTCATAGTATTTTCTAAATTTTCATTTATTCATGTCTGTATCTTTTAAGGGTATTCAGACACTAGGGTTGTATCTATATCCAAAGTTCTTGTCCTCGAAGAGCTCACTTTCTAAAAAGATAGACAAAAGAGAGTAAATGCATAAATAAATGAAATTATTTTCAGGTTACTCTAAGGCCATGAAGGCAAAAGCAATGCAAAGGGGTGGGATGTGGGCCCTTTTTCATAGAGACCTGAGTAATATGAAGGATGTAGCCTTACGAGGACCTGCGGAGAGCAATCCAGGCAGATGGAACAAGTCTAAAGGCCCCAAGGTGGGAATTAGTCCAGTATATTTTGGGAACAGCAAGAAGGACAGTGTCATATGGGGCCAGTGGTAAGCAGGGGGGTAATAATATAATCATCATTTTACATATGATAATTATTATGACTATATATGTACATTTTCTCATGTTAATTATTGAGTATTCCTCATATTCCTTCTTTACTAATTCTGTTCTACACAAATTCTAAGGAGTTTAATATAAGTGGTTTCTTAACGCAAATACTACGCTTCTGCTTGACTTTAAAAAATTGTGAAAAACAATATTAGGGTGAAATATTGAGGTCATAAAATACCCAGGAACTTGTATTTCTTACAAAATTTTTCTTAACTATAGTAAGCATTGGAAATTTTCACATATAAATAGCAAATGATCTTTTATTCCTCTGACAAAATTCAGTGTTAATGGCTTTATTCTGATTTGCACTCAAAGACAAAGCCAGCTATAGCGTTCAGTGTTCCTTTGTGGAAGGACATTGTTTTTCCATTCTCTGATGTGACCACACTCAATCATCTATGTATATATGCATTCATTGAGACATATATGCACACAATCACCCATAGCACACATACATCTACATGTTTGAATTAGGTGTGAGTTAGTAGCACTTCAGAAAAATGAATTCTGTATTCTCTGCCTAGCTACAGTGGCTGGTTGCCATGGAAATGATGCACAAGGTAGGCCTTTCAGAAATGCTAATGTTAATATGTCTTCATTGGAGAAGTTCATGTATTAATCAGAAATAAAGAGAAATTTAATAACAAAACAATGCAAATATCCTAGGAAAAAAAGGTGTCTGCTTATACCAAAGAAATCCAATTCGCCATCTCTTTTGCCCTAACCTTGACTGAACTGAACATTACTCTTCCCTGAAGTCTGCAACCAGTGAACAGGTAGCTAGTTTCTTTAAATTGATGTCAGATTTCATCTTTAATTACCATATGCATAGACTTAATTTCTGCTTCGTTAAATACTCCATAGGGTCAGGACTGATTTCCACAGTTTTCTGCCTCCACAGAGAAGTCTGTTACTCCCTTCCAAAGTGTTTTTCTGCTTCAGATGCTTTCTACGAGCATCTCCCAACCCTAATTAATAATAACTTGATTTCCTTAAAGCCATAGTTGCTTGGAAAATGTACTAAAGGAATTCTTACCCCTTTTTGATAGTCTTTGTCATAATGTATTCTATGCATATTAAAGAAGTGTATGTAAATTATAGAAAAAAATTAAAGGCATAAAGTATTTTTAAAAAATCGAAAGTCATGAGCTAATCAGGTTGACATAAACATTAATTTTTTGTATATATACTTCTCTTCATTATATTTACATACACCATTTATAAAATATAAATCTCTTAGGAATTTTGGTTGGAATTTATGATATTGTGATTTAAAATAAGAAATATATAGTATACTTGGTCTTTGTCCCCATTTCTGGCACAAACTTCCTATAATGTTTAGCGTTTCCTAAGTGATGAGAGCAACAAAGGTGTCTTTTGTTATGTTAATGAGGTGACTTTTGGCCAGCATCTAAGGTTGCCTGGAGAACAAACCATTTGCCTAGAGGGTTGGAAATTTCAACCCCACCCCTGACCTCCCTGGAGAGAAGAGGGACTGAGGTTGAATCAGTTGCTGTGGGCAATGATTTAATCAATCATGCCTGTGTAATGAAGCCTCTATAAAACCCCAAGAGTGTTCTGGGAGCTTCCAGGCTGGTGAATGCATTGAGGTGCTGGGATAGTGTTCAGCCTGGAGAGGACATGGAAGCTTCATTCTCTTTCCCTAGACCTTGCCCTTTGTATCTCCTCTGTTTGACTGTTCCTGAGTCATATCCTTTTATAATAAACTGGTAATCTAGTGAGTACATGGGTTTTCTGAGTTTTGTTAGCCTCTTTAGCTAGTGAATCAAACCCAACTGGGGGTCATGGGAACCTCTGATTTGTAGCCAGACATTCAGAAATATATGTAACAACCTGAACTTGCAACTGGCAGCTGGAGTCCTAGGAATGGGGTTTGTGAGAACCTCCAATTTGTAACCAATGAGTCAGAAGCCCTGGTGACAACCTGGACTTGTGACCTGTGTCTGGAGTGGGGGAAGTCTTGTCTCTAAACCCTTAACTTGTAAAATCTGATACTGTCTCTGGGGAGGAAGTGTTAGAATTGAGTAGGAAATGCAGTTGGTGTCCAGAGATTGTTGGTGGTATGAAAAATACTCCCTCCCCACCTCCACACATTGAAACTGGGTGCAGAACGCAAAAGAGAATTCATTAAACTTATGGATTATTTGGGGGAGAGTAGAAATCTTTATAACATTGAATATTCCAATAATTATAGTTTGTCTCTTTGTTTAATTAAGATTTTTTTTAATGTTCTGCAGTATTATTTATAGTGGTTTCCAAGTGCCTTCAACTTCTTGTATTACCATTCTGTTTTAGCATGGGAGTTGATGTTCTAGGTTAACTTGTTTAGTGTCTGCAATCTTTCCTAGCACTCCTTGATACTGATTATTTTTTCCAAGTGTTTGTAAACTATAATATAAGACAATGTTCAAATTTATGTTGAGTATTAGGTATTCCCCACTTAAACTGTCACCAGTTGATGTTAAATTCACCTTTCTTTCCACTACTTTTTGGAGTTGATGTTTATCTTCAGCTTGTTTGGTCAAATATTCTTTAGATTTGAACATACTAATAAGTTACATTGTCAATTTTATTTCCCATCATTTTACTCCCCAACCCGTGGCATTTTACATATTTGTTGTTATTTTGAATAGGCCATTTTCATTTACATTTTCAAAATATTTATTGCTTGTATGTACAAAAGCCTTTGATTTCACTGTATTTTGATTATGTTTCTGAAATTTATCAATTTATTCAAATAAATGAAGACAGTCAATAAGCAGGTAAACTAAGTAGAATATAATTTCAAGTCATGCCACGTTCTGTGAAGAAAATGAGAACAAGGTGAAGAGATGGATAGTGGGAGAATGAAGCCTTTCTACACAATGGTTAGGAAAGGCCTCTAAGGGGATGACATTGAAACAGAGCCAGATAAAGCCTAGGGCATGAGGATAGAAATTTCCACACAGAGAAGAACTCTGAAGCTGGCAAAAACTTAATGTATTCAAGGGTAGTAAGAAGGGCATAACTACCGGATGTCTGGATGGGTCCAATCAGGAGGGAGAAACCACACAGGAATCTGAACAGGGCAAGTTTAATATAGTGAATTATTAAGTATAACCCAGGACTGGGGTATTGGAGTAATGATGGACCAGCTAGTAAGAAGTAAAAGGAATTCTAAAAAATACAGAAACAGTAGATATCATGGAGCAAGCACCAACTTTGAAGCTTGGACACAACACCCAAGGAAGAACCCCCTCTCCCCAGGGTTGAGATTCAGATCCTGTTAGAGACAAAAAAGTCACGTCTCATGAAGGGCAGAAAGGTCACTGTGATGCTGTATCAGGAGAACTTGCTGGAAATCTACCTTCTAGAATTTGTCAGAAATTCACCCTCTAGGGTGCTAGGGAAAGCTCTTCATGGGGAGGTGTCTTGGTAGAGGCACCTGGCTACAAAACTTCCTAAAATGGGGTGTGCCAAGGGAGCTGTTGACTACAGGGTGCTGCTGGCCACTGTGAACGCTAGGAACTGGGCACAGGAGAAGCTGTGAGTGCAGCAGGAGCCTGGTGCTAGAAAAAACACCCACGCTGCAGAAGCTGCATACTGGGGAAGCCATGTGCATGGCAGGACCTCAGCACTGGACAAACATGAACACTATTGGAACTGGTACTGGAGAAGCTGCACACATTGCGTGGACATGTCAAGAAAGTGCACTAGATCCAGGAAACAAAATACTTTCCTCTTGCAGTACGTCTCCCATTCTCTCTACTGACCAAGCTGAACACTGTGCCAACTGTCAATGGAAAAACATTTAAAGGTCCCAAATCCCTTTTCACAGAGTAAGCAAAAAAGATGAATTTGGAACTAAGAGGCAAAAATAAATAACTGGCACAGCAGTGCAAGCATGGCAGAGAATGAGATTGGAGGGGGAGACAAGCCAAATCATGCAGGCCATGTTGGCCGCTGTAGGGAGCTTGCATTTCATTCTAAGGGTGATTAAAAAATCTACTGGAAGGTTTGAGCAAAGGAATAGAGAGATGAGAGAAGCACCAATGAGACCATAAGGAAGTAATTGCAAAAGCCTAAAGAGAGATGCTGGGGTCTGTGGAGCTAATGCAAAGTGGTTAGAAGGAGAATCTATGGGACTTTCTGATGGATAGAAAGTTGCCATGCAATTGATGTCCGAAGCGTATTCTAACTCCCTGAAAGAGGGGTAAACTCTAGGATTACATATACAGGAACTTCACTGATTGCAGAAAGCTTCTCTTCATATGACTGCTCATTTATTTAAATAATTAGTAACATAGCATCTTATATGGTTGAAATTTAACTTACACTTAATTTGCTACTTCAATTAAAATATTCAAGAATATTAGACTACAGGGAAGCACTGACTGTCAAAACCATCGTGTACATAGGCAATTGCCTCTCAACACATTAGGCAGTACTAATAAGAGTAGAAAAAGTGAGGGGCAACACGTGCTTTGGTGGAGGGGGAGTGAAGAGCCTATGAAAATGATTCACGGGACCTGGTCCAGGTTTGTATATCTGAACTTTTTACTGAGCCCACAGTAAGAAATATATTTGACTCATGACTCATGGCAAGTATGTAAAATGTAACAGAAATAACACTAACCATCCAAATCCTTATTCCATTTATTGCATTTTGGTAGTTTTTATTCTAGTTAACATTTTAATCATAGTCATATCCTTTGGAATTAATTTCCTGAACCAATAATGAGTCATAACCTTCAGTTCAAAAAATATGAGTCTGGGAAGCTAAGGAAAACCTCTCCTCACTCTCAGTGGCTGCATTTAAAAATTTCTTTCTTTCTTTCTTTTGCTGAAGCCCTTCATGTGTGGGTGGCACCATTTGATTGTTGATAGAATAATATAAAAATTTATTTTTTGCATCATTTAACTCAGGAAGAAACTGTGCTTGTGGTTAATTTTAGATTTTAGATTTAAGTTTCCCTCTTAGATTCCAGAAGTTCTAAGTTTATAATTTGTCATTTATTGTCTGTCATTCTCACTTGACCATATATTCCTCAAGGTGAGGAAGTTTAAATTTATATATTTTCATATCTCCTAAAATACCTAAGATGGTGTAAGATACCTAATATGCTGAGTAATTGCCTAAAACTAATTTATAGTAATTTTAAATTGAGCACTGAATAATGAATATATTATGTATTTAAATTGAGTAATAGAATTCCAGAATTTTGAGATTTTTTTGGGGGGGAGGAATGAATTAGGAGTCTCATGTTAACATAAACATACTACTATACATAAAACAGATAAACAAGAAGGACCTACTGTATAGCACAGGGAACTATATTCAATATCATATGTACCTACAATGGAAAGGAATCTGAAAAGGAAAACATATATATATGTATATGTATAACTGAATCACTTTGCTGTACACCTGAAACTAACACAACATTGTAAATCACCTATACTGCAAAAAATTTTTAAAACTATATATGACTTTAGAATTTTCAAAATGATTTCATTTTCCTTATAGTATAACTTTTGTTTGCTTAGTACTTTGTAGTTTCCTTGGCCCTTTTACATAATATTATGAAATTGAAATTAAAATGTCCTAGTGATGTACACAAATATTATTTCCATTTCTATCAAGGAGCAGGTCAACCTGATAGCTTAGTATAAAAGAAACATCGTGATCTGAACCTCATCTATTTCTATGACTCATCATTGTCCATCACACAAATTACTCACCAACTATACCAATGGAATTATTCTCCCCCTCTCACTTAAAACATACAATTTTTTAAAAACTCCATGCCTTTGTAGGCATTGTTCCCACTCACTGAAATGCTGATCCACCCTCCTGCCCCATCCTCAACTTTGCCTGGATAATTGCTACCTATCTTTCAATTCTTTCCCATGTCTCCTCTGCCAGAGAGTGTCTAGCAAAAGTGAAATGAGTGAGACCAGTTAGAAGGATGGTAAAGTAAACCAAGTAAGAGAGAAGTGAATGAATAAATGAACAAATGAGGAAAGCAGAGCTCTAAGCGTTGCTGCGCCGCCCCACGGAATCTGTGACTGTCAATATAATCATGTTCTTTCTGCCATTGGGAACAGGGCATCTCCCGTGATACCTCCATGCCAAAGGTCCCGCTACGCCACCTACTTTGACGTTGCTGTTCTTCGCTGCCTACTGCAGCCCCACTGGTCTGAGGAAGGCACTCAGTGGTCACTGATGTACTATCTACAAAGGCTGAGACACATGTTGGAAGAGAAGCCAGAAAAGCCCCCAGAGCCAGATGTTCCTGTCTTGCCCAGACCTAGGAGTAGCTCGATGGTGGCAGCAACTCCCTCGCTAGTGAACACACACAAAACCCAAGTAAGAGATGCTCAGTCCATCATCATTTGAACCCACAACTTTGACCATAACAGATTCTTTTTTTCTTCTCTGTATCCAGCTCTTCTTTATCCCAGTGATGACTCTTTGATTGGTGGGTTACTTTCATACTATTATCCTTTCTTTCCATCTTTTACTCCTGGACCCTTAGCATTTAATTGACCATTCAGAGAAGTGCTGTCTAAATGCCTCTTGCATACACTAATCTAAAGTAAGCCTCTGCTGATCCAGAAAATGGAAAATGGGTTTTCTGGCTAATCAAAGTACTAGTTAATAGAGAGTTCTCACATATAACTGTCAAGTACCAATATTATAAAATGCATGACACTAGCATTCTGCTGAACGTGATTCAACTTCCTTTTTGAAGCTCAAAATTTTCCAGTGCCTCAGGGTCATCATTAGCAATATTGTTTTTTGATATATAGATTACCATGCATTCTTTAGATGTTTGGAGGAATAAACTGAATGTGTGCATATGTGATAACATCCTCCAGAAAATCACTTTTTGATAAATGAAAGTCCTGTTACCAGCTTGAACATTTGTTCTTCTTCACTTCCTCATGAATACCACATGTTGAATATGCAGAGAAAAATATGATTTTGTGTGTGTTCCAGTTGTTTGGGTTTACTTAAATGTGAATTGGCTGTGCCTGGAAAAAGTCTGCATGTTCTGAAAATAAAGAGAAGGAATCTCAGAATGAAAAGGAAGTATGCTCTGTTTTAGTAATAGATGATTCTGCACAAGGTGAATATCTCCTTTGGAGAATCATTAAATGGAAAAACATTTTTTTAAATAAAAACTGAAGAGATACCTACTCCCTCCTGATTTTCTTAGCTTTCCTAAATCTGGAACTTTGTGGTCTCACTGTTGAAAAGTCCAAATAAAAGTTGCAATTAATATGAAATACACCTCCTCAGTAGTAGCTTTTGGGTTCTGAAAGTTTGGACACACCAGTTAAATACTTCATAGATATCAAAACAGTAGGCATATCCCTATTAAAAATATGAGATCTCAATAAGAAAAGTATTTAGATATAAAGCCCCAAGTCCTTGATCATGAATCTACCTTTGTTGTCTGTTAAGGATCTCACTATGAAGTGTAATGAAGAGGAAAAATCTCTCAGCCCCGAGGCCTTTTCCAAGGTTTCGTTGACCAATCTGCGTAGGCCTGCAGTCCCAGATCTTTCTTCAGACCTTGGCATGAACATTTTTAAGAAGGTGAGTAGAACCACTTACGTTCTTTGACGTGCTAGTAATTGAAAAAACAAAACAAAGCAGTGGGGCATGAGATGCTTCTGATCGTGCTTCAGAGTGGGGTGGGATGAGAAAGAGATCCCGGAAGAGGTCTGCTCCCAATTACAACACTGGCTTGCAGTATGACCTTGTGCAGATGTTTAAATGAGGGCTTAACATTCTACACGTTATACAGAGTTGTTACAGAGCTCAGCCCTGATGATATGTGTAAAATGCTTTTAGTAATGAGATAATGGAGATGGTTGTGGTAGCAGTGATGGTAACTTACATTTGTATAATTCATCTCGTTTTACCAAGCCCTTTATAGAAATAATTCTTATTTAATCCAACGAGATTTTTATTCTTCACCATTTGGACCTAAGAAACTGTGTCTTACTGAAGTTCTTAGAGTGATGGGATCATCATGGAGCATTTATTCTTGAAGTCATCTCTGTTTGAAAGACAACAAGCAAACCAAGCTTTGTTAATAAAGTAGTAACTCTTTATAACTGACCACTAGGTTTACTCCTGTCACTTCTTTTTGTGAGTGACAATGTAGGTTTCCATTCAACAAACATTTATTGAGCATTCATAAGGGGCTAGAACACTAAAGGTAGGAAATTAAAAGGTGTAGTCTTCATGCAAATAAAACTGAGGTGGGAATCAGTTGATCAGGGTTCAAATTCCAGCCCTGCCACTTTCTACCCATGTGATACTGGCCAAATGATATAATTTTCTTCATCTATAAATGAGTGCATAATACACTTAATCTTGAAAGGTTAAGAGATTAAGTGAGATAATATATGTAAAGTCTTTACTGTGCCTGGCACTTGGCAAGTACTCAATAAAAGTTATTATTCTTAAAAAAAAAAAAGGAAGGAAGAAAAGAAATGAAACTGAACCTTGGAAACTTTAGGTAGTTTTCAAAAGGTTGAGTCCAAACTCAAAACTAAACCCTCTAACTAGATAGTCCATGTTCTAAGACTCCACATTTCACCTGTCCTTTTTATAAATAATTAGAGCTGATCAAATAGAAAATGACATGTGTAGAATAATATATATGTGGTAGCCTATTTTTCTCTTTTCAAAATGACTGGTTAATGTCAGTGAAGAACACAGAATTATGACCCCATCTATGAGCTCGGAGTGTTGCTACCTTTGTTGATGATGCAGTAATGGGCAATGGCTATAGTTCTTCTAAAAACGTCAATCAGTAGGGGTAAAAGAGGCTTTCAGTACTGACTGCACATGAGAATCTCTGCAGAACCTTCAAAAATTCAGGTGCCCAAGTCTGACCCCAGACCCATTAAGTCAGAATTGCTAAAGGTTAGGCCCAGACATTGATATATTATAAAATCTTTCCAAGCAATTTCTAAACTGTTAGTTATACTGGATTTGAACTTATTTAACTGGTCGGAGTAATAGATTTGTACCAATGCATGCTCTGTATCTTCTTTGCCTCCCCTTATGAACAGAGGCACACATTGGTTTTTGTCTGACTGAAACAATGGATCTTAGTCTTGAAAAAATGGAACAGAGAAAGATTGGCTGGTCCAAGCAGTGACTTTGGAATTCTAGACTCTAACCTAGGGGCTCTCATGTTTTACCATGCATCAGAATCACCTTCAGGGCTTGTTAAAACACACATTGCTGGGCCTCCCCCTTCTGAATTTCTGATCCAGTGTGGCTGGGGTTGAATCTGAGAATCTGCATCTCTGACGATTTCCCAGGCACTGCTGCTGCTGGTCCAGGGACCACACTTTGAGAATCACTCCTCAAACCCAATCCAGCAGAAAAAGCCAGGAAATACATTAGCTTTTGCTCAGTTTCTTTCCTTTTGACACACTGTGGAAATTGGATGATATTTGGTGACTTTCTGGCTCTCCCTCTCCTGGAACGTTTCCTGTATTTTACTCCAGATCATGGAGCCCTTTGGGAAGCAAACTGTAACCTTGCCTCTGCCCTGTGCCCGACCCCTCATCTCTCATCCTTGTAGTTCAAGAGCCGCAAAGAAGACAGAGAGAGAAAAGGCTCCATCCCGTTCCACCACACGGGGAAGAGGCGGCCCCGCAGAATGGGAGTGCCATTCCTGCTCCACGAGGACCACCTGGATGTGTCCCCCACCCGCAGCACATTCTCCTTTGGAAGTTTCTCTGGGCTCGGAGAAGACAGGCGAGGCATCGAAAAAGGAGGCTGGCAAACCACCATTTTAGGTGACCACCAGGACCTCCCAAAATAGGGCAGAGCTTCAGTGACCTGTTTGGAACTCTGGATCTAGATCTCCCGGGGAAATCTGGATCTTTCTTAAACAGTTTAGTCAAGAAGTTTGGGCCCACATGTAGGCTCCCCAGACCCAAAATTATGCTATCTCTTTCATAGCAAAAGAAATGCAGATAATTGAATTATGTAAGAATCCTGTGTAATTAGACAGGTCATGGACCTATTTCTTGGATCATTCTAGATGTGGAAACATGGCCTCAGAGGGTTCTGTGCATTAACTTTCATTGTGAATCCAAGGGCAGACTTTTCTAACTTAGATCTTAAAAAAGGAAGATGTAAAGAAAAGAAAAAGGAGCTTTTTTTTTCTTTCTTTCTGGATGTCACATTAAGAAGGCCAGCTTGAAGTCAAGAGCTGACAGCTGGCCAGGGCCTAACAGATGGTTTCTGACATTTGGCTTAGATTAGGGCTGACCTTATCACAGGCAGCTTCATCCATCATCTTGACCCAGAACATTCCCAAGGCGAGTTCAATTCCCGCTAGTCGGCTGTACCTCACGCGCTTCCTGACATCCCCTCACTCTCATGGCTGTCCTTTGGACTGACAAGACCTCGTCAGAGCATCTTTCAGATTTTCAAACCCTCTTGTGGTGCTCTTGTCCATCTCAGGGAAATTCACCCGGCGGGGCAGTTCGGACGCGGCCACTGAGATGGAGAGCCTGAGCGCCAGGCACTCCCACTCTCATCACACGCTGGTGAGTGACCTGCCAGACCACTCCAACAGCCACGGAGAAAACACCGTCAAGGAAGGTGGGTCGGAGGCGGCCCTGGCAGGCGGGAGTTCAGGTTCCTTTTCCTGTTTCCTGTTTTTACTCCATGTTCCATTTTCATTGTAACCTGGCTCCTGTGCTTTTTGAAAACTCCATCTGTGTATTATGTTGCTTTGTAATCTCCTTGTGAGCCATTCTTAAGATTTCCTTAGTAGCAAGAGCTGTTGGATAGCACACTATGAACACCGTACCTCTTAGAGAGAAAGCCAGGGCAAGCCATTCATATTGTTTTTGTTTTAATGGAGGTACTGGGGATTGAACCCAGGACTTCATGCTGCTAAGCATGCACTCTACCATGGGGCTATCCCCATATTTGTTTTCAAAAGAGCATAGACCTACAGGGCTAGGAGCGACTTAGAGGACCTCTATGACATCCCTCTGAAGGGCTTGTCCACCTTCGGTGGGAGGAAAATCTCTGCCGTCCAAGATCACCGATCTCCTTTTCAGACAGCTGATCTTTGGTGCTTTATGTGGAGCAAACGTGTTTCTGGATGGAATCCAAGATGGGTTCTTACTCTGTGCTCTTAACCTATGAGCATGAATTTAGTCCCTCTTTTCCCTGGATTGTATTTCAAGTATTTGATAACATCTGTTAGTTACCACCACAAATTTATGTTCCATTACTCTTAAGCAAAGGAGAAAAAGAACCTTTCTTGTTTGCTGTTGCCTAAACATACTAAATAAAACCAAATATTTTAGCAGTTACAAACTTGTGAGGAAATACTTCAGCTAAACTAGTTTAACTATATCAGTAGGGTCTATCATCTAACAGTGGGTAAAATGCACCTGTTAGACAAAAAATGTTAGCCTGTGTCTTAAGGAAGTTGGTTAAGTATTCATGTTTTCTATAACTGTCATTATTTATCATGTATTACATGATTTAACACCTTAATCATTTCCATCAAAGTTGAGAATAGCTCTGAGACTATCAGTCAAATATCTGTTAATGCTACAGTGGTGATTTGGTCATGATTTAAATGATAGTATAACTGTCTGACATGATGTCTTAGGTTAATATGGGGAAAACCAAGACATTGCTTTCCTTTTTTAGTACGATCCCAGATCTCCACCATCACAGTTGCAACCTTCAATACCACATTGGCGTCATTCAACGTAGGCTATGCAGACTTTTTCAGTGAGCATATGAGGAAGCTCTGCAACCAGGTGCCTATCCCGGAGATGCCACACGAACCCCTGGCATGTGCAAACCTGCCTCGAAGCCTCACAGACTCCTGCATAAACTACAGCTACTTGGAAGACACAGAACACATTGATGGGACCAATAACTTTGTCCACAAGAATGGCATGCTCGATCTTTCTGTAAGGAGCAAGAATTTGTCTTACTGAAGCTTGGAAGATACTGAATCTCTGGGCCAGTTTTTACAATGTTGGGTAAAATGGGCATATAAATTCTTAGAAATGTTGAGCAGTTAAATGAAAAATCTACCCACGTGAAAAAATTTCATAAATGTACCCACATCTTAGATTCGTCTTTTCTTTTTTTGGAGCACTACATTAGATTTGATCTGATCTCAATATTTTTATATCCTGATCGTAGATATATACAAGTGTGTGTGTGCGCTTACTAAGTCCCTTTTTTCTATCTAGAATGGGAGTAAAAAATTCTGTTTATTTTCTTTTGTTTAAAAGCAGTAGGACTCTAAACCCACAGTATAGCAGGAGGAAATGAGTAGAAGTCTAATAAGACATTTAAACCTACATTCTCAAGAATGCCTGTCTTGATTATGGTTATTAGCAAATGAAAGGGTTGTTATATTTTACAATTATGTTTCACAAAGTTTTGTAATTTCACCTTAGGGAAGTTGGCTCAGCAAGTAATTTAAACTACTAGAATCAATAAAAGACATAATTTAAACATGCAAATATTTTGCATTTAAAATTGAAATTAAATAATGATGCAATTGCTCATACGTAAATGTTCTATTATGTGTGTCCATAAGGAGGTCATTTTTCTTCATCCTGTATTGGTGGAAATGAAAGGCAGAGCATTAAAACACTGTGATTTTAAAAATCAGTTGAGCAAGTTTCCATTTGGGCAAATAATTTCTTTCCCATTAATTTGTTAAGCTTTATTGTCCCCATAAAGTGTCTATATCATGGCAAGTTTTAGAGTACTTAAGTGAGATAACACACATACATTTTTAATTCTTCTATATTAAGCACATACACATGATTCCAATGCAACTTAATAAAACATCTGAAAATTACCTGAATTATTTATGTTTAAGTGCATAGAACAGCCTAAACGAAATGCATTAAACAGAATAACTGAATCTATTTAGGAAGAGATTAATTCAAGTCCCTTAATTACCCCCGGTTTATTTTTGTCTTCCCCCAGGTGGTTCTGAAGGCTGTTTATCTCGTCCTGAACCATGACATCAGTTCTCGCATCTGTGATGTGGCGCTAAACATTGTGGAATGCTTGCTTCAGCTTGGCGTGGTGCCCTGTGTAGAAAAGAACAGAAAGAAGAGTGAAAATAAGGAAAATGGGACTGTGGAAAAAAGACCAAGTGAGGGAACTTTCCAGTTCAAAGGAGTATCTGGAAGTTCTACTTGTGGATTTGGGGGCCCTTCAGTTAGTGGAGCTGGAGACGGTGGAGAAGAAGGAGGAGGTGGTAATGGAGGAGGTGGAGGAGGTGACGGAGGAGGAGGTGGAGGAGGTGGAAGTGGCCCCTATGAGAAGAATGATAGGAACCAAGAGAAGGTATGACAACCATGTTTTGTGTCCTCATGAAATGTTACTCCTGATTTCTTTCCAATTCTTGCTTGCCGGCAGTTTGTTGACTCAGAATAGCAACTAGTCAGTAGAGTGAAAAAGTCTAGAAATCTCTTCATTAGATTCTCAGCAGGCATTAGTGAAAAACAGATGAAACTGTATCCTGAATTCAAAAGCCATGGCTGTCCAAGTAATGTTAGAATTAATTCCCTGGCCTTGTTAATTCTGCAGGAGAATATCTCAGATACAGTACATGGCCATAATTCTTAGTCTGCCACCAAGAACAGCCTCATTCTCAAGACTTTCATGGTCTGACCCAGTTGAGCAGTGTTGTAGCCTTCTCAGGCTGCCGGCACAAAATACCATAGATTGGGTGGCTCAAGCTACAGAAGTTTATTTCTCACAGTTATGGAGTCTGAGAAGTCCAAGATCAAGGTGCCAGAAAGGTAGATTTCATTCTGAGCCCTCTTCTCTTGGCTTGTAGGTGGCTGCCATTTTGCTGTGTGCTCATGTGATCTCTTTTTGCTTTGTGCACAGAGAAAGAGAACAGACTCCCCAGTGTCTCCTCTCATAAGGGCACAAATCCCCTTGTAGGGCTCCCCTCTCATGACCTCATCTAACCATAATTTTTTCTCCGAAGGCCACGTCTCCAGATACCATCGCACTGGATGTTAGGGCTTCAACATGTGAATTTGGAGGCGGCAGACATTTAATCCATAATAAGCAGTATAATTTTTCCACAAAAAAATTAAATAAAGTCCTTTCTCTTGACTTAAGGAACGCATTTTTAGGCAGCCTACTTTAATCACAGTTAAGGGGAAAGAAGGGAAGATGTTCTGTGTAATTGGTTGGTTTGTTGGTCTTGGTTTGAAAGATGAGCCTTGCTCCTCTTATGTCACAGTGTGTCACATCTAGGTGTCTTTAGCTTTCTTGTTACTGACTGTTCTTGAATTTAATTTCCCTTGACTCGAAAGCACCTGATTTATGATCTCAGCACTTAACATCAAGAATCAGTTTTCTCTTTTAATTTGAATTTTAAATAAGAATTAACACAGCTTAAATTCATATAATTTATGCTGATTTCAGTTTGGGGTTTGAGTTGGAAAATGCTATTAAGAAATTGAAATCAACAAGAGATTTGGATCTTGAACAGGTGACAATCTACACATCAAGTCAAGTGTTTATAAGCATAAGATTTCACCGTGCAGAGTTCTACCACCTACATATTATCTAAAGAGTAAATTGTTATTTCCTTGCAGGATATCAGGTTTTTTACATCTGAGTAAGTGTTGCAGTGCTCCTTCCTCTTTTATATATTTTTTTCTCTATCTCTTTCCAGTTCTACTTGATGCATGTTTAATGTGCATTTATCATCTGTGTGTGTGCCTCTCATTGTCTACTCTCAGTTTTTCTTAGTATTGTGGACTCTGATCCAATTATTCCTGTCCCAATATTCTTGCATTCCTAAACCTACCCTCTTTTTTAGGATTTCTTCTCCTGCCTAGATCATATATATGTTTTTCAATTCTAACAGAATCTTCTGGTTCTTAAGGTTCCCAACTTCTTACCTTCCTAAACATCACTGAGGACAATCCAAAGATCCTCAGATCTCACCATAGATTAAAATTATCTAAATGATGATATAGATCACAATGGATTTGATCTTGGATCCTAAGATCTAAGAAGTTATTCCTTAAGCAGTTATGTAGGAATTAGCAAACGAATACAAGTTTTAAGGACCAAATTTGTAAACACAACAAATCATGAGATTCTTAATGTTCAATTTTTTTTACCTGTCAATCTAGCCTCACCACTCAAAGAGAAAATAGATATTGCTATGTCATCATGTCATAATATTCAAGAAAAAATAGAAAAGAACAAAGTTGTGAAATTTTGATAAGCTTTTATCCCAAATTGATGAGGGATTTTTTGCTTATGCTGAGAATCTCTGGAGTTCATTATTAGTATTTTATTATAGTTTGTTTCTGTTTTGCTTTTGTTTTTAGTTCTAAAATTTCACCCAAGTAGTATTTTTATCTAATTTCTTATTAAGGAACTGCAAGTCCCTTGTCTATTTAAAATCTAGATATTATACTAGAAACTTGGTAATATAATTTTGACCAAAACTATCACTTTTAATTAGGATGGGATTTTTAAAAAGTCAGATTATATGTTATCCAAAACAGCCACCAAGATATAAATGTTTTTTAGTTAGTTCTGCAGAATATTATTCTTCGTAATACAGAGAATTTATAAAATCATACCTTACCGTAGGTCAAGTACATTGTGCTTGTGATTCACACAGGTCTGTTTTGCCTCAAACCCATCTGTCTTTTCAGGGAAATCAGAAGGTGTATCTAATTTTGCAACCTAGTAATACCAGAAGCATGGGGGATTGATTAGTTCAGAAAGGAAGATCTAATTTCTGTTTCTATATTTGCCTCTCACTGGTACTGAGAGCTTGAAATGTTATTTAATAGCTCTCCCGATTTCCGTCTGTAGCTTGATACATCTTTCTGAATGTCTCCTATGAGACATAAATCCAAAGGACATCTGAAGGTCCAAAGAAATACAAATAGATATTTACAAAAAGTTATTGGAGTGGGGAGGGTATAGCTCAGTGGTAGAGTGTGTGCTTAGCATGCACGAGGCCCTGGTTTCAATCCCCAGTTAATAAATAAATAAATAAACCTAATCCCCCTTCCCCTCAAAAGATCTGATGAAATTTTAAAAAAAAGAAAGAGAGAAAAGCTTTTGAAGCTAGGAATTTTTTTTCAAAGTAACATGTAATAACTTTTAATTGTATGTAAACCAATCTTCTAAATCAGCCCTTACTCAGGATGACTTTCCGAGGCAGTACTCCCTTGACTGCGTGTGCTCTGCTCTGCCAAGGGCTTGTGCTAAGGGGGTCAGTCAGGACTAAACTCCAGGCCAAGCCCTG